CTAAGAACAGTGATGGAAGCAATTTTCACAAGCGACAAATGTTGCACAGGAACTCCATAAGGACAATTACAATGCCTTGCTTGATGCACATGCAAGTTGCACACAGTAACAAAAGCAAAGTCCCAGCTAAATTAAATGAAAAATAATTTTGTTTCAGCTCCAGCAGTTAAATCTGAAGAAAGGGAATAGGTGGAAATAAGAATAATAGTGAAAATAATAAATATATTAATAATAAAAATAACAATGATAACAATAATAATAGAAAATAATAATAATGATGATAATTATAATAACAGAAATAATATAAAAATAATGATAATAACAATAATAGTAATAACAATAATAGTAATAACAATAATAGTAATAACAATAATAGTAATAACAATAATAGTAATAATAATAGCAAAAATGATAAATACATTTTCGAAAACTCGTAAAATGCTGAGCAACTTCTCAACTGCACAATGACACACAAACAACACAAGAAAACACAAGAGCCCACAAATGAAGAAGAAGAAAAAAAAAAGAAGCAAAATGCTCGGCACTGCTTTCTGCTTTTGTCTCAAAACTTACAAGTTTTAGTCATGGGCACAATTTTCCCTTTCACTTGCATCAGTTCTGTAATCATATCTAAGCTTTGAACACTGGATTTTTGTGACTCAATGTCTTTGTCCGGGCGAGTGCTGTCAGCCCTTAACGGTGTGAATGGGTTCCTCATTGTCTGGAGCACCTCTGAAAATGCAAGTCTTCTCAATGCCAAATACTAAAAAAGTGTCTGTGAAGATCCTCCTGCGAAATCACGTTAGTGGAAAAAAGGAGAAAATCATACATACAGAAAAGTGCTTTGGTTAATTCTTTGTTCCAGGTTCTTTATTAATATGGAATAATAATAATAATAATTTAAAAAAAATGGTACAACGTAAGTGCCTCAAACAAACAAACATGAAATTAACAAGGTAAGCACCTTTTTAGAACCTCAGGAGGATACAGTAATGTGAATATACTGCATCTTAATTTCTCCCGAGATATGGCAACAACCTCAATGCCTCAATAAAGAAAAGAGCATAACCTGCCAGAGCCCAAAATAATAAGCAATAAATATATGCTATCTAATTTCCAAAGATTTACTAGTCCTGTTAGTCACTAGTGAGAAGTGGCTGTTACGCACTTCAACTCAAGTGGTCATAATTGTAGGAATCTAGTGAAGACAGGAGTAAAGCTTCTCATATGAAGGAAAATAACTATATACAAAATAAGAGGCAAAAGTTGTAACTGAAGAATCATTATCTTAGGAGATAGCACTTTCTTTTTTTTTTTTTTTTACTTTTAAGACCAGGAGACCTCTCACTTTTTCACTGGCTATAACTTAATTTCTTTTCCAAAATTTTAATATACTGGTAATAATAACTACATAATTATCAGTTATCATTTTCAATAAAATCCCTAAAACCCTTTTTTCGAGAATCACTTTTGGTTAAGGATAATGTTCCATGCTGATGAAAATTATTTTTTTCCCTGAAATATATGGCCAAATAAGGATAAGATCTAAAATCATTACACTAATAACTTTTTTATGCAAGATAATAAAAATATGAAGCAAAATAACCATTAAGGAAATATCTATGACCACCAAGCTTCTACAGTTACTCAGTCTTTGCCACCATAAAGAAATACCTCTCACATATCATGCACATCAGCCATGCTAAGTAATGAGAGACCAAAAAATGAAAACATGACTAATGCACATAGCCTAAAGATATCAGCAATTTCCTCTCTTTCTACCTCTAGTGTAAACTCGGCCCCAGAAACTCTTCGTTGTCTTTATTTGCGGCAAAGGCTTCATGTGGACCCTAAACCAAGGGATATAGCCCACAGCTGGACCTGGAAAATGCAAATGATGCCGCTAAAGACCTTAAAAGGTCGTCGTGGCTTCACTCTTTTCTGATTTTGGAGCTCAAGTTGAAAGACCTGTGTTAGTGATGGATGGGGACAAATTTGTGATAGGAGAAAGAAAATATTTGACCATTTTCATGATCTTTTATAAAATTTGAAAGGATACCTAGTAATTCAAATGTGTATAAAGTGAGTGATGTTATATATATATTCATTTTCAATAACTCTCACCAAGTATAAAGAAAAAAAATACAATGTTAGTTCTGAAAATGAAACAGAACATCATTCATACATTTTAATATTCAAGATTCTTTTCATATTCCTTTAAATAAATGAAACCTTTACATATTCATTTTACATGCCAGTAAGCATCCACAAAGCAGAGCAAAAAAGAACATATAATCCCTGAACAAGCATTTTGCTCAAACCATCTGAATCCCATAGCATAATCCGAATGAACGACCTGTGACACTATTAAAGACAAAGTAATGGGGAAAGAGAGACTATAAATGGTCTAATTCTTGAAGGTAAACTTCAATTTCAGATGCCAGAAATGTTAACCCCTTCTGCATACCTGAGCCAAAGCACTAAAGCAATCTCACTCATAATAGAAGGAAATCATATATATCAAATGGCACACTGAAGAATATAATATGAAGGAATAATCAGGTTTTCTTTCATACATCATTATGAATAATATGACAGGATGACTGTCATAAACCATACCTGCACAGTAACTGCTGAAGTCATATAGTACTAAACTGATCTAAATACAAAACTTTTTAACAATCAATTTGTTTCTCAATCGTTTACCTCTGAAGAAATTCAGACTATACTCTCATACCTACTTAAGAAGCAATTAATAACATCACACTTTCCTTGTTTCATTAGCAACATAAAGAAAAAAATTGTACATTCACATTTTTTCTATAACAAAAGTAAGTCAAAATTATTTTCGCCAGCTTCAAAAGGGCAACATGCGACACTATTTAGCTGTGTAACACACCATTCTCATCATGCTTTGCTTTTTCTCAAACTGTGTTAGAGTACAGCATAAGTACCAAGTACCTTTGTATAAACATGGTACCACTTATCAATGGAAACAAAAGTGTGAAGGAAAAAAATGTAAAATATGTGACTGAAAATATTAGATCTTTTTTGTTTTATAGAATTATTCACTTATATTCATGGCTTCTCCTACCTTTGTCTTAAAGAACTCTGTGAAAGTGTCCTATCAATATCCTAGAACAATTAGAAGTGAAACACTCACTATTGGGAGGACTAGAGTAAGGTGGGTAGTCATGCTGGTTGAGGGCATGGGACACTGCCTGCAGTCTGTGGTGGAATCCTGAAGAAGCATTCACCTCAGAGGCACCGAAGGCAATGCGACATATGGCTCGTTCACTTAAATTGCTGAAAGAGGAGGAATGGATATTGCAGGTTGCTCATACAGTACTGCTGCATTCACTGGAGGATGGGAATTCACAGTCTCTGAGTATCAATACCTATATATTGCACAACACAGTACAAACTATCATATTCAATTCAAAATAATTTCCACTCTAAATATGTATATGTCTACATACATAACACACACATGCATGCATATATATAAATGCATATACATTTATATATAAAATCTTAAATATGTTTAACTGTCAATACAGTATGTCAACTAAACTTTAAACAGTAGAAAAACAAATTTGTCTTCTGATTCTCAAATCGTATAAACACAAGCAGAAAGAATCTCTTACCTGTATTCTAAGTCTGTGCTAATTTCTGATAACTGCTCACTATTTAAATCTGCTGGGAGCTCCATCAGGTAGAAATAGTCCATGGCAAGAGCCCCTGTCCTCGCCAACATATTAGCTTCTGCAATTAAATGATAACCAATGAGTAAGACAAGAAAGAAATAAAATATATAAAAATCTTGCAGTTTTAAATTATGAGTAAAAAACATAGTATTGTTCAATGAGAATAAGATAAAGAAATAGTTAATAACACACTTAGTAGTGTCAAGTGGTCAGTTTGTTAAAATTGCGAGTATTTCAAAATATCTACTTTCATCAGTAATAGCACTAGGACAACAGTTTCTTGATTAAAAAAGTTCATCATGGCCTTAAAAGTCACTCCTGGAACAAACACACCATTTCTTCTGCCAAATCAAATTAATAGAATATTCCAAGGTGACACTACCTGTGGTCTCTTTTGAGTGCTTTTCCCACGAATAAGCATAATCCCAGAGCTCTTGGGAATCCATCAACGCCTGAGGATCAAACAGGGATTTGCCAAGGTATTCTTGGCCTTCTTGTCCAATGCTGATGAAGGATGACGCTCCTTTGGCCATGACTGTTTGACCTTCTCCCGAAGATATGTTTCCCTGAGAGTTCACAAATATTTAAGTACCATTAATCTCTAACTGGCTATTTGGAGTCACCGTTTTCAATTTGACAATAAACTTAAAAATGTTTTTCTTGCTTTTATATTACTGACTAGGGCCTACAGCTTCTAGGGGTCATTTTCTTATCTTACAGTGTTATTCAGTGTCATAAAAAAATCTGTAAAGTAAAACCCTAATGAATCAAAATCAAGAGCTAATATAATACACAAAAGAAGTCACTTCACCTCTTGTATATCGGCTATTCCACAGATGCACATGCCAACAGGATCCACTGAGAGAGAAGATATACCAAGCTGCACACTGACTGCCTCCAGACCTCGCACAACAACAGTCATAAAGCTCCCCTGGTGCTCAACCCTCATGAATGGTGTGAATCGCATTTTTGTAGGTCCAAAATAACCACTATCTTGTACAGATTCTGTCAACTGGAAGTAAGAAGCACAATTCATCTTTCAAAGTTAGATAAATCCAATACTTGGCAACATCTGCAAGGGTAAACTGATCTGCTTACAGACTTGTTAAAGACTAAAGTCTCACCTTGAAAGTCCATGTTGCCATCTCGACATAGAGCCCCATATGCAAGGTTTTGTTGAGGCGGTAATGGTGAGCAGAAATGGTGTTTTCTTCATCTTCCCAATAGACTGGCAGAAGAGCAGATCCAAGTGACCATGCCCATGATGACCACGAATCCTCTCCTGTCATATCTTGTGGAAGATAAAAATAATGTAATGACAAACAGCATCATGTAATTTCCCAATATGAAAGCAAAATGAGGAACTTTGTCTTTGATAAACATATACATGCACTCTCTTTACATATGCACACATACATGCATGCACGCACCTGCCCATCCACCCCCCACCCCCCGACACACAGGCCTACTCTTTCCTTCAGATCTAAAATGATCCCAAAGTACCTAGACACCCATCAAAAAGATAAATAAATAAGAGAAAGTGATACACCATTCCATTACCTTCTCCAAGCCCCATGTCCAGGTCATCCCCTCTTGGCTGGCCTTGGGGTTGCTCCAGGTCAGTGGGTGACCCAAGATCTCCATAGTAGAGTGCCAAGGCAAGCTGAAGCAACCTCAGAAACATTGGCAATTGCATATCTGACAGACTGAAGTGCAGTTGTGGGCAAAAGACATCGTATCGCGTGCATAATGGTTGTATAGAGTTGACAGACTCAAACTGGCGGACTATTCTACAAGATAGTGAGCATCTGTACAACAGGGGCTCCTGCAAAGAAACAGAGAGAATAACTATTATCTATGTCTATGTATAATGTACTCTTGTAAAAATTTCATTATACACAAAAAATTAAAACAGCTTTTATTTATGGAAAACAATATATGAACTTGAAAATGTATTCAATAAGACACCTCATCATTCTTTTCAGAAGTAAATTCTAGGATTATCTGACTTAAAGACTTTGCTACAAGAAAATATAAAGTGTGATAATCGTACAGACCTGATAGTTTTCTATCTTGCCTGAAGCATTTCTCTTATCTAAGCACACTGTTAGATCAGTAAGAGTTGCAAGATTCCGCAAAATCAGGTCCTCTGCTGTCAAATCTGCATTGGGAATAATCAGAGATGCATTTTTACATTGTATTCCCATATATATTGATGCAGTTATTTTACATATAGAATCTGCTGAGGTTGAAAATTAAGGCAAAGAGATATCATGCAAATGACAGCATATATTCTCATAAAAAAGAGGTTTCCCTTTCTCTTGAAATCAATATCAATACCTTCAGCAAATTCGCAATGAGTAAATAGAATAACACCAAATCATACGTGACCATCTCATGGTGGCCAGGATGATAGCCTGTGCACCAGGGTGCACAGGTGCACATACTAAAACAACTGCGGCCTTGCCAAATTTTTTCCTTGTAATTGGGTCAAATAAAGAAATATGGCATATGGAAAATTCTCAACAAATAAACAAGTCATGCATGAAATTGTTTATTTTTTGCGTTAGTTAATGTGCACTTAAATAAAAAATCTAAGGTAAAAACAGTCAAACTGAAATACAGCTACAAAATATAAAGACTTGACACTGGTAAAAGAGAGGTCCTAAGAAGGAAGGTACTTGTTCCTAAAATTAATTGCTTTGGCATTGAACAAAGAATTTCTAAAATATAATGATCCCATGTAGAAAATAATGACAACTCTGGGTTTCAAAACTGTCTTTGCGTTTGCTTGAACTGAATGATGAGGCTTTAACCTTTGTGTTTGTGAGGGAAAGAGATAAATTATGAATGGTGACAAATGGTACGGTTTAATAACTGAGTACTGTAAATCTAAGAGAAAAAATAAGCTAAAATAAGCTTGTCTGATTTCAGTTGTCATATCAAGCTCATAGTATTAAGTTCTGCATTCAGAAAAGAATACTCTGTGGGCTACAAAAATATTGGACTACTAATGTTCTAGATACAAATCAAAAGGGTAACCCGGGGTAAACTAATGGTGAATTTTGCTATGATAAATTTGCATGTAAAGCTATTAATTAAGTATCTATTTTTGGGGGTAGTAGAAATAAACTGTTGCAATAATTATAAAACAATAATAATGATGATGATGATGATGATGATGATGATGATGATGATGATGATGATGATGATGATGATGATGATAATAATAATAATAATAATAATAACAATTACAATAATAACAATTACAATAATAACAATAATAATAATAATAATAATAACAATAATAATTACAATGGAAATCAATTGTAAAAAGAATATTCACTTACCTATAAAAGCTGGCGTCCAGTTACCATTGACAGAGCGGAACTCAAGTGTTTTTACATTGATAGATAAGACAATGTCATCCTCAACATACTTGAGAATTACATTATTGCAAACAATGCACACATTATTTATGATTCTGTTGATGAGCCCTTGAACATAACTCGTTGGTACTTCTAGGTCTTGCCTGAAATATAAAAAAATAATATTGTTTATAGTGGAGATAGATGATGAATTTTCCCTTACCTATGATGATATAGTTTCTTAACATTTACTTAAGACCTAATGTGACATTTATCTGACCCAATGACAGTGCACTAGCAGGTCACATAATATCCCTTGAAAAAATGCAACATGCTTCACATTTTCATCAATACAGTACTCGCCTTTTCTGCCTCCGCCTAATATCTGGCGACTTTGGCCCTGTTCCTCCTTGGCTTGAGGTGTCTGAGCTCGCGGTGTCACTGCCCTTTAGTTTCAGGATGCATTCTGGAGGAAGAGAACAGAAAAGTCTAAAATCAATGTTGTTAAAATATGGACAGTAAAGATCAAGGAAGTCTCTATACATAGCCACAGAGCAAAACTAATTACTGTAATTAATATGTACATGATACCTATCCATTTTTTCTTAAAAAAAAGAAAAGGATGAAAAAAAAAAAAAAAAAAGCAAGAGCAACCTATGGTGTTGATTGTGATAATGATGGGCTCCGATGTCAGTTTTGTCCATGGCACGTGGATCCGCAGCTCGTGAATGTGCCCATTTACGAAGGAGAAAGGGAGACGTAATTCTTGCTCCAAGACATCTAAACGTAGGTCGAGGTTATTGAAGACTGCATCTCCACCCCACAAGGAAACCTTAAAAAAGAAACAAAAATAATGATAATAAATAACATTACAAAGAGAAAAGGAGTTCCTGATGTACTGTTCATGGTATACATTAGCAAATACTACTTATAAAAAGGCAGAAAAATAAACATAAATCAAGTGTATATACTCATAATAAAAAATATATAATGAAATGGAGGAGAAGGAGAAGCTAATATGGAAGTTGAAAAAATAAACACAAATAGAGTAAAAAATGACATATGATGAAAAGGAAGAAAAAATATCAAAAGCAACTCACCTGGGAGTCCTCAGGTTTGAGGTTCTTAATGTATTTATCCACATAGCTTAGGATGATGGGCGTAATATAAGACTCAATTCTTAACATTCTGACAATGTCTTAGTCTTCTGCAATCTGGGAGAGAAGGATACCGATTATGCCAATGGTAAAAATCAGACTGTTATCCATAGTACTGCATAGACTGAGAAGATTAAATCTATTGGACTGTGATAAATGGAGAGTATGTAGATATAAAACTGATGTTAAATAAGAATATCATAAAATCTAACCACAAAGCTGCATTATCTTACCTTCCAATAGCTTTTCATTTAAAATCTCAGCATTTATTTCCCATATAGTGTCCAAAAAACATATTTTCTGAAATACAGTATGGGTATCAGTCATTCAAGAATTCAAATTGCAATATATCAGAATGCCAGCTCTTTTTCAAATTTCACTTTAACAATCAATTTGCAAACTGGCTTGTCCTTCATAAAGAAAAGGAATTCCTTTAATGTCTATTTATAATGCTTAATTAAAAGAGAAGATATGTGTTTCCTTAATAACATATTAAATTTCTTTCCTTTTTTATCTGTAATCCACTAATGTATTGATAGATAACATAGGACCTTGCGTTAAATCATTCATATTTTTTGCACCAATCATCATAATACTCTATGGAATGTTATTGTGCCATTAGAGTTGACAGCCTCTGCTAATTATCACTGGTCAAGAAATTATACCAATTACTTCCTTAAACATCTTTAAGTAATGAGTAATTCTATCAAATTTGCTGTTGCTATCCACAAAATACCACATTACTTCCTCTCCTTCAGAAATGACAACACTTGACAATGATCATAGATTTTCTATTCCTAATAAGATGTCCTGCTTCCTATCTGTTCTATACTATCTACCATCAATAACAACTGAGGTGATGTAGCTCAGTAATGGGGTGATGGCATCCTACCTGATGGGTCTCCATTCAACTCAACTGGGGTCAAAGTCAGGGAAAAACAGAACTAGCAAATCTACCACAACATCCCCTCGTTTAACAATTAACAATAAAATAGTTTTATAATCATACGTAATATACATAATAGTGCTAGCATCACGCAATCACCACAGTCTTATTACCACTGGCACTTCGTCTATGGTCAATACCCCTGAGGGGGAACAGCCCCTTGCAATAAATATATTGGTGCATGATATACTAGTGCCTCTGAGAGCCTGATACTGGGTCTGTCCTCCACTCTATTCTGCCTTACAAATGTGGTGGACTCTTCGTCATCCAGGATGAGTCGAGGGGTGGCGGTAACTTAGGTTGCAGTTGATTCCAGAGACAAATTATACCTTTATTATCATTATTTATCCCAAAATTTCCCTGGTACCATTCATGCACACCCCTGCTTTCAGGACCAAGTTTATATATATTGGGGGGTTATCGTAGCATAATTTCTATATGAATAGGAAGTAAACAGTGAGAGGAATCCATCCACACTACCATCATCGTGATCGGTCATGTAAAGGTATTCTGCATGCTTACCAACAGTCCTACCTATTGACTTCAAAGACTTTTCCGCAAATCATCTACCAACACGTATGCATATTAAACTAAAGTGCAATTGCCCTTAAACACAGGCCATTTCCTTCGCTAGACCACCACCTCAGCTGTCTTAACAGGACAATAAAGGCACTAACAAGCCTCATCAGTCTACTTCCTCGATACCCTACACCTCACGTTCCCCTCCTGGCCTTTTCCGCACCATTTCCACTCACCATTGCCGATTAAAACCCAATTTGACGTGGGGAGGCGACATAGCGGCCCCAGTGGCCCTTTGACAGTGTTTACAGTCGATCGCCTTTTGTTTTTGTTTACGTCACCAACCTCCGCGACATTTGCGAATTCCACGCGATTTTGGCGCATGACGTAGTTTTGGTAACATTTATGAAGATTAGGAGAATTATATAGCTTTTTAGGGAAAGTCTATGGTTTCTAGCAAATCTTGAGATTTTTTTTAAATTGAAATTCTCCATATTCACGCCATTGCGGGAAGCCTATATATATTTTAGAATCTCACGATATATATATATATATGTCATCGGCCAGAAGCAGTGACACTTTAATTTTGCCATTATTAATGCATTTAATTGGTAAATCGTAACGCTTGATTAGTTTGATGATATAAAATTCTAAGGGAATAAAACCACAAAATAGAGTTTGGTGGTAGTGAGGCTGTAGTTGTAGGTTGTGTTTATGTTAGAGGTGAAATACTTGTGGACGATCTTGGTGGTTACTTTAACTCGAGATAAGGGCCAAAATACCAAGTCGCCTTCTCAAAGTGCCACCTCAGCATCCATACAACCGAACAACCAGGCCTCTGTCTAGATGACCTGGCACCCCTAGGTCTAAAATTCCTGAAGTCAGTTCAGGTTGAAACATCATTGAGTGAAGGTGAATCGGTGTTGACTCCTGGAACTCATTTGAAGAATACGGCGTGATTAGCCGTGAAAACTAGCTTAACTAACTAGAAATTAATTCTAGTATTAGGGTGAAGTTAGCTGTAGATTCCAGTTCGTCTTTTCCCCGAAGTTAGCGGAAGGCGGGCCTAGGAACTATGGTCAAATTGTAAGTATTATTACTTAATAAATGTATAAGTTCTTTTCACACACAGTGTTTAATATTATCCCATTTTGTCATTCCTACATAATAGGACACTGAACAAAGGAGAGAACCACACCACAGAGATACTGGTTGGGTTGAACACAGTGGTACACGAAACAAAAAGAAACAACACTTATACTAATTAAATCACTTGGAGTACATCGACACGAGAAATACAATATCTATTAAATAAGAACCTATGTCTTGAAGAATAATGATATATATGAGTGAAAATATCAATGATATCGAGATATATGTGAAATAGAGTAATTTAATTCATTTTAAGGTTTCCAGAAATAGTGAATGATGAATCAGAATGATGCCATACTGATCTGAAGTTTTAATGAACAAAAATATTATTGAAACTATCTGAGATAACCTTTGATTAACTTACTAGAGTAAAGTAATAACGAAGATTTATGTTGGGTAACAATGACCCACATAACATATGGTGGCAGCGAGAAGGATTAATAATAGTATTGTATTCTATGTACTTTAAATAAATTGTCAGTATCGCAGCATTCTGGAAGTGTACGGCAACTATTGCGGGCACCGAGGAAAGTAGAGACTGTTAGACTCACTGACGTACTGGCATGCCAATGAGAGTGTGAGGGACTGCAAAACTGAGTTTTGATTGGCTGAGAGAACAGAGTGTCTGTAACGCTTAAGTTTTAGAGCACGAGCCGCTATCCAATCAGCGACGAGGAATTGGACGAGCATATGACGTCAGACTACGTAAGGTTGACGTAAGACTCGTAGGACCAATCAGACGACGGTAGACTCATGACTGTGACGTCACTGAGCCACTCGCTCGTGATACCGAGAGCGGTAGTCTGAGAGCTGACGCGAGACAGAGAACATCTCTGAAAGTCAATTATTGCATGGCTAAGTCTCCACTATTCCTTAATAGTAACTAGATGAATAAAGTTAATTAAGGGGTAAATTCATGCATGCTTATTGATTACACAGTTCAATATAAAAGGATAATTAGAAATTGATTTGTTTGAGTAATATTTTTGGGTTAGTTATCCCTAAAAGTTTTCTTTCACCAATAGAAATTCATAGAAGACGGAGTGGAGGGCATACTAACTTAACACACTACAATTATACTAAGACGGCTAATACAAATATATAACCTTTTATTATATGAATGGAGGTTTGTCCATGGGTTATGAGTGTTTTTTTTTTCTACTAGTTTGTTTTGTTTTTGATGGTTAACTAATTACGCTTGTTTTCTTGTGTTTACTTGCGTTCTTATTGGTTTTCGCACTGAAGTGACTACAATTAACGATGGACTCATAATATTGTATTGTAATATTGTTGATGCGGGTGACAGTTCATGTCTGAGACAAGATCAAAATCGTTAAATTCTTTAGAAAACAATCCTATAGAGGAGCTGTACGAAGAAGAATACATTTTCACTCTTAGAGAAGCTGAACTACTGCTCGACGTAGCAGAATCACCGGGGGAGGAAGATAACCCTTGTAATTTACACCCGGTTTCGTTAGGAAAACGCAAAATGGACGCGCGATTTGAGCTTTTAGAGGAACAAATGCGCGGCTTAGCTGCACAATTGCAGCAAGTGGTGGAGATGCAATCTCGCAGTCATCGAGCTGCAACAGAAGACACTTCCGAGGCTCAATCAGCTGAAACCACGGCTAATGAAGCCCGAGCCAAGCTGGAACTACGAGACAGTTCAGTACAATGGAAGTATTCACCAGGGACAAGAGTGTTCCCATGTTTACGGGTGGGGAAGAGGGCCTCACCGGTGGGGAATGGCTTGCCCGGGTGGAAGCAGAAATGAAAAGGCGTAACATTACGGGAGAAATAGACAAGACATTGTTCGCCTTGGGGTACGTTCACACGGAGAAAGGACCCGCTAGAGTGTATGCACATGAGGTGGGAGCTGAAGGAGTCCCCTACCGACGTTTCAGCAAGATGATCCTTTCTCGGTTTAGTGAAGGAAGAAAACCTTGGAACCGTATCCTTCGAGAAGCAGAGAGAAAGAGGGGTGAGACATACAAAGAATGGGCCAAGACACCAAAGGCTCTTCGACTAGACTGCATGCTGATGAAACATTGGCCATTTGACGGAATTTGGCTGAATATTGTGATGGATACTCTCTATGACCATATGGTCGGAAAAGCCGTAGCGAAATATCGGATTGAAGGGACGGAAAAATGGGACCATGACCGTCTAAACTCCATGGATGCTGCCGACTTGATTAAAGAAATTGGAATTTGGATGGAGGATAATCCTCTACTCGACCAACAATTCCAAACTAAGTTAAGCTCCGGGGAAGAAAAACCAGCCATGAAAACCAGAGTCGGTGCTGTAAAAACAGAAAGTCGATCCATGAAAGCGAACGGAGGAAAAAAGTTTCATTGTCCAGAACATGGCTGGAATAAGACGCATGGAAAGGAGGATTGCTATAAGCTGAAAGCAGCCGAAACTTCTTCAACACTGGCGGCAGATAAGCCGCAGAGGAGAGAGAAAAAGGGCAATCCATCTAGCATGATGACATGTTTCCTGTGTCAAAAGAAAGGACATCGGCGAGCCGAATGCCCAATCCAAAAGGACGTCGAGAAATTATTGGCTTCAAAAAACGGAGCCAAGCCGTCCAAGACGGACGGCAACACGGAGTAGAGGAAGGGAGACACCAGAGAATGGAGGAGACCGTGGACTATCGCATTCCCATGCTAGGACCACCACCTCCAGAATATATGATGACTGAAGTGTTTGTACCACAGAATGACAGAAGTTTTGTCGCTGTGTGGGACTCTGGTGCAAAACCCAATCTGGTCAAACTATCACTTTATCGGGCACATGAGGAAGTGAAGAGAAGGACTCTACGAGACAAAGAGACGTACCTTCTCCGCTAGTTCCCCATAACGTGACAGTAAGTGGTATCCTTGATGCAGAACCAGTGAAAGCACTTGGACTGGCCAAGATGACTTTCATTATTGGGGGAAAGCAGTTTACTGGTGATTGTTTTGTATTCGAGGATCATGCAATCCATTTCCCAGGTAATTGTGATCTGCTTATTGGACGGCCTTTATGAGGACTCACAAGCTGGATCTAAGTTTTCAGTATTGGAGGGTTCATCTTAAACAAAAGCCATTGGTGGAGTGCCTACCTACCCCATCGATGATAAACAGGTGCATGACATAGCTGGAGTGGTTGATCAACCAATTAACGCTAACTGTGGAGATGCACCGATGACCTGTTCTTCTGATGTGGCATTCAACAGTGTTGCCGACAAAGAGGACACAGTTGTAATAGTCTCTACTGGGGTTTACACCCTTCCTGCTGGGAAGGCATCCATCATTTTAGGGAGCCTTAAGCAGAAGGACGAGAGACTCAAAAACGGAACCTCGATTTTAATCAGTGGGTTACCGTTGGGAGAGAACTGTATCGTTATCCCTGTGGTAGCCAAGGCAGAAGATGTTGTGAAAGTCTTGGTCTGCAACTTCGGTCGCACACCGTTCTTGGTTCATAGCAAGAGAACCATTGCCAATGCTGTGTCTATCCAAGATGATGAAGAGGAGCAGCTGGGACGTTTACCGACCGACCACTGGGAAAAACAACGAGTTCTCACAAGGATGAGCATCAATGCCGTGGTCACTGAGGTGAAACCGGATGATGTAGAGGAAGAGGATCCCCTGGATCAAGCTCTTCAAATTGATCCATGTTGTGTGGTGAAAAACGGGCCAGTGTATGATGAGAAGCGCTTCCAGAAACTTCTGAAAGCACTGGACGCTGATCGCTGGATCCTGAAGGAAGACCAACGCAAAGCAGCAGAGTCCATGATATGGGAATTCCAAGAGGCATTCAACCTTAAAGAGGAACCTTTAGGAAGAACCAATCTTGTTGAGCACAAGATAGAGACAGGCGACAGTGATCGAGTATATGTTCCACCTAGGTTCATCCCATATGCTCTACGACCTGCTGTGGAAGCAGAGGTCCAGGCTCTGAAGGAGCAAGGCCATATTCGAGTCAGTTCTTCTGAATGGAATGCACCAATTGTTCTAGTGAAGAGAAAGGACAAATCGCATCCTCGGCTCTGTGTAGATTACCGGGCTTTGAACAGCCAAACCAAGCTTGAGTTCTACCCTTTGCCACTGATAGAAGACATCCTGTACCAAGTCAGTCAGAGCAAATGGTTTTCGACGCTTGACTTG